AATCTTTTGTRAAAGAACAGGGATGAATATAAACATCCTTTCAAAACCCAAGCCACACGTTGTTCAACTAGTCTAGGTGACTTTATTCCTTTTCAATAGGAAGCATCCAATATCTAAAAGCAGATTCTGCCATTCCTCCTAGGAACAGTCATGTCAGGAGGAATTACGGATAATAGATTTGCTGGTGGGAAGGGAAGGATAATATAGCATCTTAAAAGACATAACTATATGGTTTCTATAACACAAACACTTAATTGTCAAATATGAAGAATAATCAGACTAAATACTGGAAAGATAACAACTAATTTTATTAAAAGAGATAGAATCACTCCTGGGTGAATAAATCTAACATTCAGGTTCGCTGAACTTCGGAGCAAGACTGGACAAGAGTGAAGTCCCAAGATTCCAGATATTGCAACTTCTTTTCTGTCTCAATCCTGGGAGGATTATTCTAGATAYGGAAATCAAAAGATCACAAAGTTGTCTGAGTGTGCAGAAGGACACAGAAGTAAGGCACAGCGAGACTGGGCAGTGGCTGTCAGTTGCTCTGCCACTGGGGACTCAGCTATCTGGCATTTCCTACTCCAACAGGCCCCAAACTGCAGCAAAGCACTCAAAGCAAAAACTATTAACCTAATTTATCTCAGCAGCTCACATATCTCATGTGCCTGCCTTGCTCTCACAGTATTACTTGAGCATTACACTTATGTTCTGTTAGGCTAGGTCTCAAACAGAGAGGAATTGCCAAAAGCTGTGGGTTTTCTAAGCCAGAGGAAGCACATTATACCCGTGACCTGCATTATACCAGCTCACCCAAGTGTGAAGCTTGCCTGCATGCCTCTTGAGCAATTTAGAGAAGAAAAAGAATCATTTAGTCCAATGAAGTAGCTGTGACTAAACAAAAAGGCCAAGTTAAGAATTCCCTGAAATATTTATGTTTTATAGTTTTGTAGCTCCTAAAAATGAACAACCAAATTGTTGAAGTAAAAAAAAAAAAGAACATATAATTAACATACTTTTTTTTTTTTTAGGCAAGGGGAGGAGAAAGGAGGAAAGGAAGCGGGGTGGGGGGGGGGAAGGGGAACAGGAGGAAGAACAAGCAGTTAGTTATAATCTTCTTAAGTTCTTGAAAAGAATGAACGCAGACAGTGTGTCCCCAACTGAATTAGCAAAAGCTTTTAGCATCCCAATTAAATTAATTTCACCCAAAAAGATTGAAAATATATTGTACAAATAACATTAATAATAAYAATAAAAACACAAACATACACCCTCACATTTGAGAGCCACTATCAGTGATTTAGGCCTATCACTTTCCAGTGGTGTCCTGCTAATACAACAAGAGACACTCGGGCAAAACAACTTCAAGCTTTGCCAGACAGTCCTAGAACCCTCCAACTTCCCTCCTCAAAGACACTATGCTACATAATCAGCTACCACTACGCTTTGGTTCACCTTGGTCAGACAGAAATTGCTGATAAAACCAGCTCAATATTTCATTTTATGTTATGGTACTCCTACACTAAAGTTAAGCAACGTTTCCAAGGAAACTAAGCCCAGCAACAGTTTTCTGCAACATCCCAAAGCAGCATAACATTTACTCTAAGAAAACCACTTCCAGACAGAAGCCAGTACAGACTTTAACCACGAACAAGAAAGCACTTCACAGGGGCAGTTTACCAGGATAGTCCACTGAAAGCAAGAGCCATCAAGCATCATTAGCTACCAGCCTCCATAAGCCACAGACACAGGAAGCTACAAAAGAAGATACAAAGGGAAATCTCCTTCTCATCTTGAAGAGCTTAACTTACTAAACCTGCGATGCAATTTTTACCAATTGGTTTCCTTCCTTCCTGTGATAGTGTCACCAGATAAAAGGCTGCGTGTGGTTTCCCAGAGCTTCTCAATCTTCCACAGACTCTGAAGGAGTTGAGGCACATCCTCACTACTACAGTAACAGCACAGAAACAAACATATCAAAGCAGAAAACCGAAGAAGCAGCATATTGAGGAAACTTCTTAAATAACAACAGTTAATTTCACTCTTTGTTCAACTTACGTTTAGTAAGTTATCTTTTCCTCTGAACCTTTAGGATGTTTTCACTTTAACTGCTTGCTGAAAACCAGCAACTTCTGGGTAAGAAACAYGAGTTGTTGCTCAAGCAGCTGAAAGCTAGGACAGTGAAGAAGCTTATCAAATAAGCTCCCAAAATAAAATGTATATGCCAGCAAGTTGAGTGGGGAAGTAATACACCACCTAGAATACTTATGGCCACTTTAGCAGCAGCTAAGGAGATGACCAGAGTGCCTGGCAAGGAGCAAAGCCCCCAGCTGAGGGTTAGCGGGGCRGTAAAGCGGCTTCTCCACGGGAGCGCCACGGAGCACGCGGGGAGCGCASCCGCCGTGCGCGTGCGGATGCTCACGCGCGGACGCGGGTCGGGGCGTCCCCCGGAGGCCGCAGAGCGGGACGGGCCCGCGGCAGCGGGCGGCCGCGGAGGCGCCAGCCCGGGGCGAGCCCC